GCTGAAGTCCGGGTTCAAAGATCTGCCGTGAAGAGCCACCAGCTGCTGGGCAGCGCCATTTGGTATATCAGCAGTCAGCACCCTTGGGTTCAGGTGGTTGATTGGTACTATGCAGCGAGGTGTGCACAGCCTACATGGAACTGATCCAGGGGCAGGTGACTGAGGTGGCATCTCAGATGTGTTTGCCACCTTCTGGCTTCACAGGTAATACAGTCAAGAAGTTTTTTCCTCATTTTAACAGTCAGCTAGAGCTTGGCCACCTTGGAGAACACTTGTAACCCAGTTGCTGAGGAGAGAAGCATCAAGACCCATGATGTGAATTATTGAAGCTGCTGTGAACTGTAGTAGAAATAACACACACCACTGGGTCTTGCCCTAGGTCAAGCCAATCCAGACTGCAGCAGGCTGAGTGCCTTGTGATGTGCTTGCCCACCACCTTACCTCAAGATAAATTATTTGTGGTCCTGCTGTAACACCTTTGCATGTCCTCAGCTTGATGGCACGCTGGCTTCTGGCTAGGGTAGCCTGTCTGCAACGCATACAAGCGCAGGTCCTTGCCTTGCAGGCTGGGACCGGTGCTGTCAGCAGGGCTGTAACTTCCACCCTAAGCTCTTTTTAGCTTTGAGTTCCCATAGCTGTGTTTGACGCAGGTGTAACAACAGGTAGGCTTCGTGCTCTGTGCACCGTGGTCTTTCTTTAATTCCTTCATTAAATTGCCCCTGCTCCTGGGCTCCAGGGCTTTAGCAGCCACAGGCTAGCGCTTGGCAAAAGGGGTTTAAAGTAGTGTGCTGCTGCTGACCCTGAGTTCTTCCACCAGTAAACACGCTGTTTCCCAACTGTGTTAACTCATCCAAATGCATGGAGGTCTGCGTTAAAAGGAAAATAAGAACCCGTGAGTGGATTGGTATGTCCTTCCTACTGAGCTGGAGCACTGCTGCTATTTGGGGAACTAGTTCATGAATTGGAAGAAAAGAAGCAAGCTGCTTTAGCCTTCTCTTCTCACTAGCAGTTGTGCAGTCGCCATCTGTGCACTGAGGCTTTCAAAACCAGACTGGATAAAACCCTGATGAGCCTGAGCTGACCCTGCTTTGAGCAAGAAGTTGGACTACAGCCCTCCCAAGACCCCTTCCAACTTGAATTTTCCTGTGATCTCTGTCTCTGAGAATCGAAGCTCTCAAGTCCACTTGCACATGTATTTTTCCAGTTCTGGTAATAATGTTTCAGAGCATTGCAGCCACATGATATGCTTTCTTCCCTTGGCAAGGACTGGGTGAGATGAAAGTGGAAATAAGCCTTCACAGAATGTCCCCTTTCAGGTTTCCGTGAAAAGCAGTGCACTTCAACTCTAGGAAGAAATTTGTTCAGTCCGTGACACCTCACAAGCCTTATGGTGTGTGTTTTACTGACATAAATGCAAATTAGCTGTAGAAGGGAAAAGAAGAAGCAAAGATTAGAGAGATCAAGAGCCAGAGATTAATTTTTAGGGAAACTAGAAGTGGATGGGAGCCTTTTCTTTATTCAGGAAGGAAAAAATGTGTTTCTATACATGGAAAGCTACTGCCTCTGAAGTGGGTGGGAAGAGTTTTTTCTTTTATAAAAGATGATTTGGAAACAAGTCTCTCTTTAAATATTCAGCCTGAGGCATACCCAATTTGAAAGCTGTATCTTCCATATATAAGCATGTGTGTGTGTTTAAACTGGGGCCCTTGATTTGTATGAGAAAAATCTTAGCATAGGTAAGGCATGAGTTGTTACTGTCTTAACATAACTGTTTTTACAAAATACCTTCATCTGTTTACCTTAACCAGCTACCAAGAAAGCATATAACTTTATACTTTACTTGGAAGTTAATTCTGAGTAAGAGCCACGCTTTCTTGCTAAATCCCATGTGGCGGTACCATGCGCTCTGTGATTTTTCTGAAGCTTTTTGGGAACTGAGTTGAATTAAAAATGTATGTTATGCTGCAAAGGTCTTTCTGCGCTGATAGCTGAGGAGCGGAGCAGAGTTGGTGGGATTTATGGCCTCAGGACTGGAGGGTTTGTCAGTAGTGCTGTCCACACGCAGCTGCAACTTGAGGAAACCTGCGGTTGTTGGGGCTTTGCACTGTGGGAACTGAACCAGTGGCTGCAGGAATAAGGAGTTCTTATTCTTCTGTTCTTTGTTTTGTCTGCTGGATTTGCAGTCTGCTTGCTCTGATTTTTCTTCTCGTGTTTCTGTGGTAGGGACGAGCAGCCTTGTTCAGGTTCCGTAGAGGATCTTGCATGCTGGTGGCATCAGGTCAGCACAGACAGTATGAGCAGAAAGCACTATGACTAATTTCGCATCATGTGGGTCAGTTTTCCCTCTTGCCCTTTACAAGTGGAAAAATGTTTGCAATGTAGCATACTATCTCCTTTTAATGCATCATATATTGCTCTCTATTTACTGTGGCAAGGAATTTTATTACCCTGTCTCTGATCGACCCCACCTCTGTTTTTCTGCCTGCATGGATGGCATGTTTGTTGTCAGCACTCGGTGCTGGCAGAGGCTGCTTGTTTTCCTCCCCCACATCAGAGCTTAGAGATAGTAGCTCCTTGCAGTGGGCTGTAGCATGCATGTAAATGGCTTTTATCAGCCTGTTCTCTCTGTGTGACATCTCCCACGATAACCGCCCCCATGCAGGCTGTGCTAGGATGGCTCTTGCAGCCTGATTAGATGCTGCATGAATGTCAGTGGGTTGTACTGGGCTTCTTTCAGGGTCCTTATCCCTAATTTGTGCTTCGTGGGACGGTGCCTCTGAAATGCAACTCCTTTTTTTTTTTTCTAATTTGTTTTCTGTTAAGGGGAATGGCTGGGTATTCAGAGGTAGATAAAACTGAGATGCATCTGAGAAGAATAAGTTGATGTAATGTTTTCTCTGCTGAATGTTTTCTCTTTTTGTATAGAGAGTTAATTTCCTCTTTTCCCCTTCATTACATAGCGACAGGGTAAGGAAATAGGAGTTTGAAATACGGGGAGGGGGAACCCCATGATGTAAAGCCGTAGACTTCAGAAATGGATTGGAAGACAAAATCTGTGGGATGCTGCTTCTCCAACACAAGATGGATGTCCGTAGAAAAGAGACACCACAGAATGGGTGCTAGTGAAGAACAGCAAAATAATTATTGTCCCCCAAATGCTGTCAGTTTGAAGTAGATTTAAAAAGTAGATTTAGCTTAGATATAAGGAAGGAATTTTTTACTGTGAGGGTGATGAGGCACTGTAACAGGTGGTGAATGAGAGAAGCTGTGGATGTCCAACCCCTGGAGGTGTTTAAGACTAGGCTGGATGGGGCTTTGGGCAGCCTGGGCTGGTGGGAGGTGTCTCTGCCCATGGTAGGGGGTTGAAATTAGGTGATCTTTAAGGACTCTTCCAACCCTAACCGTTCTGTGATTTTGTAAATCTACTTCCCCTGCTCTGCTCTGGTCAGGATTTTCAAAAGTGCAAGGTACAGATGAGTGTTTCCACTAGATGGGTTCTTCTGGAGTGGGCTGTGCACCCCTGAATTGGGAGAGGGCAGTGGGGAACCACCTCCTGAACTTATATCTGTGGGGTATCTTCTCTTCTGCACCCACTGAACTGACTGCTCACGTCTGGCTCAATTGCAAAGCATGAGATAAGGAAACTCATAGTGCAGTTACCAAGGGGACAAAACAGAAACTGAATGTGGGAAGTAAACAACGCTGAGGCTGCCTAGGAACCTCAGGCTCCACAGCTCGAGTGCTCCTACCACAGCGTTCACCGCGGGGTAGTCCCCATGGCCTCCTCACAGCGGTTTGCCACAAGACTCCCAAAACGAGCTGTGCTGAGGTGCTCAGGGCTGTGTGAGACAAGGAGAGTGTGTGGTTCCTGGTGTACGTGTTGTAGCTCCGCGTGTGGGGCAGAGGCCTTTGCTGCATGCTGCAGTGGTCCAAATTGCTTCTCTGGAGAGCCTGGAAGGCAGCTCGTCTTTCATACCTCCATGGATTTGTGTCAGGAAGGCCAGGAGTTTGTATTACAAGATTTTTATTATTATTAGGGAGTGTTATACATAAAACTTATTGGGAAACGTGTATGGAACAGTTTACGACCTGCGTGGGCTACTGGGCATCCCTGCAGTTGCTTTGATGTAGAAGGCCTGAGCTGCCAAACAGTGATGTGTTGTGGAGATGCGCTGTGGCATAAGTATATGAGAATCTATGTAGATCAAAGTAAAAAGTGTGCAGATAAGCAGCCTCTCCAAGTAGACCTAGATATATAGAGGATATAGTAGTAGGATGCTAGACAAAGATCAAATAATAAAGAGTTCTGCTGTAGGGGCATTAGCTGTGGGTCTCCAATTAACATGATGTATATTTATGAGAGGGGTTGGTTGGTGACACAAGGAACAGTTTGAGTAGTACAAAAAACAATTACTTTTTTCTTTGGAAAGGAGGGTGATCGTGTAGTTGAAGAGTCTCTTATGTCTTGTCAAGAGCTTGCTGTGTGTCCGTGTGCAATCTGCATGTGCTTAGACTTTCCACAAGAGGCTTCAGATTTTCCAACTCCGTTTTATCTTTTTCCAAGTTTGTTCCTCAAAACTGCTGCCATTGAAGGCTTCACTTGGAATAGTGGACACTTAGAAACCCTCAAATCCAGTGCCAGGGTGTTTCTGAAATAGCACTTGTGTTGAAGCACCCAAAATCTATAGCCATTTTTGGAAATACAGGCCATAATTTCTCTGTTTGCTTGTCCCTGCCAGGGGGACTGTATGTCCTTTCTTCATAAAATCTTTGAAAGGCACCGTAGAAGCATGCAGTGGTACCATAGCTTAGAGCAGCATGACAAAAAATGCCTTGCATGTGTAGGAATTTTATTTTCTTGGTGTCTTTTCCTAAAAGTCCCTAAAACTAGGGAGAAGCCTACCTATGGAAAAGCCTTCCTATCAGCTGGTAAACAAAAGTATAGCATGGCTCTGCTGCTGTTGGGGGCTGCAGTTCAGGAAGGTGCTGCTATTTTGCAGGTCTGTCGCTGGAGCGCTCGACCAACTCAATCGCCTCACGCGCTCGCCTGTGTGAGAGGGAGGAGGAGGTCATGGCTTGTTTCGAGACTGCGTGTGTCGTTGCCCAAGTGTACTTGCAGGAGCTTGAAAAGGTAAGAAGTGTGCTCAGGGTGTTACCTGGTGACCTGGGTGGGACATAGAGGGATTTTGACAGCAGAACTGGTGGCGGAAAGGTCAAGTGATAGACGAGGAACATGAGAACAAGCCTGAAAGAATGAAGTGCCTTAGCATTTCTGTGGGCTGAGTTTTTCAGTATAAGCAGTTGCAAAACAGCTGTTTATCTGGTCTCTGCCAGTTTCTTCTGAGCATGACGTGTGGAAACCAGTTTTGCCTGCGGTAAAGCTTTGAATACTTCAGATATGCTTGAGTCTTTATCTCAAGTTTAGCTCTTACTAAGGAGGGATGACAGGCTTTGCATAGCAAGCACCACCATGAAGGAACCCGAGATGTTTTACGTATCTGCAATGTAAGTGATACACAGCACTGGATATCGAGATCCCTCATGAGCTCAAAGTAACCTTTTGGGTCGACGATAGCAGTTTAATTGCTCGTGCTTCGCCTTTTCCAGGTGAAACTGGAGGAACCTGGATCAGTATCAATTAACTGCTTAGTCAGTGGTTGGCTAGGATGCTGGGTACTGTGAGCTCTGCACTGAGCTGTAATCCATGCCACTGATTTACTGGGCACATGCTTAGAGATCTCTGTATCTGCTGCTTTGCCTGCTTGCATTTAGCAGGGGCACACCGTAAGTTTTCACACCCTGTCCTCTGCCACGCATTATGCTTGACACGAGCATCACTGAGGCAATGAATGTTGCCTATTGTTCTGTAACTTAACTGCCTTTTACCCTCTGACCTGATATTTCTGCTCTTCTCAGTGGCAACGGTGTGTTTGTTCCAGATTTTATTTTAAATTGCATTAAAACAAGAAAAATAAGCTTGGGACGCACACAAAAATCCATGAGGAAAGCCAGATAACAATTTATTTGGTCTGTTTTTTGTAAGGAAAAAGCTACTTGTCTTTATATTTAAAATTAAGTACTGCCCTCTCCTTGCAGAAGGACCAGTTCCTGCCAGTACTGGGCACTGTAAATGTTTTTACTGACAATTTGTGTATGCCAAGAAGAAAAAGAGTTTGAATAGCAATTCATTCATCTTCTGGACTCAGAGGGATGCAGGATTCATATACTCAAAGTCCATAGGTCCTTTTCATTCCTGTTTTGGAGCGTCTACATAGTGCAGCTTACAGCAATGAAAGCTGTTTGTTAGCCCTACTGGAAGAGACAGTTTCTAAGGAAGCCAAAGCAAGAGGGGTTTGGTAAGGCTAGAAGAGCAAAGACTAAAATTCTTCCATTGATACTCCTTAGAGTTTACTAACTCTTACAAATATTTACATTATATTAAGCTGGATATACTCACTTAAACATTGTGTTTATATTTCTGTGCAAGCTGCTGGATCTGTGTGGTTGGAGTAATATTTCTGAAGCCCTCGCTATTAATGTGTAGCTTTCCACTTTATTAAAGGTGTAAAGTAGTAAGGGGTGGTGCTTCAAAACTCACATTGCACACGGGATGTTTCATGGAAGTCACTGTATAGTTCATTTTAAAGTTGACTTCGGAAGGTTTTTTGAATAGCTGATGAAAGTAAGATTTCAAGTCCTCTGAGGAGGAATCTGAAGGTTGAAGACAGTAACATTTTGTTACTGGCAGTATCTCTGGCTCATGAGGAAATGGCTCGTTCAAAGAGTTGTCTGTAATCCCACTGGTTTCTTTCCTTGCAGACCTTAAACAGCACACATTCAAGGAGTATAAAGGGCAGCAACATGACGTACTCTGAGTTTGAACTGTCCTACTTCCTGGAAGCAGCTCTACAGAGTGCCTACGTGACTCATTTAAAGAAGGGGTAGGTGGATGCAGATGTTAATAAAAATAGATAGTACTGCATGTTTTGTCTCAGAACAGATGAAAGCTTCTTTCTTCATATGTTCTGTTGTGACTTTTTTTTTCTGCTGCTGGCTCGCTTCAGGTTTTCTTTGTGGTCTCCCTTCCCCACACCCTATCCTAATTCTCAGTTTTCCGGACCCACAAGTAGGGTGGAGTAGAACAGTTTTTTTGTCTTGACTCAGCTTTGCTCCCTGTGGAGATGAGGGGAGTCTGACCATAGAGAGTGAGTGGAATTTAAACACTGCTGAGTTTTTTTTAGATGCTCAGCCACAAGACCTGGTTTAGAGCTCAGTCAAGTCTTAAGGGTTGTTTCTTTTTATTTTTTTAAGGTCTTAATGTCCTGATCAAAACCCCAATTCTGTGTGGTTTTACTAGAGACAGTGCCCACCCTCCGAAGCTGTAGTAGAGGGCATGGTGACCCCTAAAATAGGCAGTATCTTCAAACTCCATTTACTTGATGGGAGGATTGCCATGTGGGGACAATCTGTTCACCACTTGTAAACAACACTTGTAAGAGTTCTTCCTTCCCTGCTCCTGTGTTTGTAGCATATTATCACATTTGTTTTTAAGGAATCACATACTGAATTTCTCACTGCTCTGTGTAGTATCACTGGTCAAACTTCTTTAAACTTCCTTAAGCAAACCACCTTTTCAAAGTATTTCATCTTGGTTGTGTTTTTTTGTTTTTTTTTTTTACCTTCACTCCTAAAGAAATTTTATCTCCTTTTCTTCACTCTGAAGGAAGAGTGGAATGGAGAAGGAAGAGGAAAATAAAAAATATGTGAAGAAGGAAGAGAAAGAAAACTAGGGAGGGAAATAGCAAAAAAAAAAAAAAAAAAAAAAACGAAAAAAAAAAAACAGCTTCGATTCTTCTGTAGAAAAAAAAAAGATACCTCTCCTCTCTGTTTGAGGAAGGACAGTTTCTGTTCAGGTTTTTCTTACATTTTTTCCCCCAATAACTATTTAAATGCAGCTGTGATATGAATATCCTATACTATGAGTATCCTTGGTGTTCTACATTGTTTCATGTGAAGTCAGGGTTAAAAACCTGCATGTACAGTGAAGTTGTACTTGCAAGCATGTCCATGGTAGGTGCCTTCAGGTAAGTCTTGTTTAACCCAAAGGCTTTATTCACAAGCCCAGATGTCATGGAATGACCCGTGTAGTCAACTGAGTATGAGTCTATGTGTAAAGAAGTACGAGGTTATAAGTATAAGGCATAGTCTTAGCATCATCTCAGTAATCTGGGAGAGGTACGTGGTTTTCCCATGTGAGGTGGTGGTTGTCCAGCTGTAGCACAAAGAGTAGGCTTTATTAGTCCTTTACTGGTTTGGTGGCGAACAAAAGCTCAGGTCTTGCCAGTAAGCTCATTAACTATGTAATAAAATAAAATCTCATTTAGAACATATGGCACTGATGTCCTCTAGGCACCTTTTGAATAACGAACTCACTCGTGTTCCTTTTATTCAGCAGCATTTTAAATTCAGTATTCATCAGTTCAGTATATCTAGTGGGTTGTTTCAGCTGTTACTGGGAGCCCTACTTGCTCCCTTCCCACGTTATTTTAATGATAGCCTTTAAAAAAAAAAAACTACTAGAAAACAATTTGGAAACAAAATACGTGTGTGAATCAAGAACTGCTTTGATTATAAGCTGAATTGCTGCACGAGCAGCGAAATGTTCTCTGTGGCTGTCTCCTGATGGAAGAACAGCCTTGGAGCTGGTTTGGCTGTGGCAGGAACAAAGCTCCATTTGCTTTGCACTTCGTCAGTGCAAATCAGAGGCAAGATCCAGTGAAATTAAAGGGCCAATGGGAAAATAAGACAAACAGGAATCCCCAGATTGTTTCTGTACCTTCTGCTTGTGTTAGTGTGCATTTTCTGCCACGAGAGGGCATAAGCAGCATTGGGATGTATTAAGGAAGGGGGGTTGGGTGAGGGGAGAAGGTTTTTCCTGTATGTAATGAATCTCTCCACCCAATATCCAGAGGCTCAAAGAAATGTTGTTGGTTTCAGCTTGTCCAAGTAGGAAATAGGCCTTTGATCTCCCAGGCTGATGGGGGATAGGTCCTAGGAAAGGAGGTCCTTTCCCAGTGGCCCTTGTGTAGAGAATGAATAGCAAATGCTTTATTTCCTTTAGGAGGGCTGACGTCTCCTCGGCCAGGTGAGCTGAGAGATGGGAGAGGTGTTGTCCTGCTTGTGTTTGTTCCTGCTGCCAACATCCTGGAGTATGATCAGGGATGCCCTTCCCTCTTGTAGTGTGTGGTGCTGAAAAGAAGGCACCTCCCTCGCTCATGCGCACCCCTACAAAGCAAAGGTGCGTGCTGTAAGGACCAGCAAGTTCTGCAGCTGTGCCAGCCTCGATGCTGTTAAGAGATATTTACTTAAACAACACTGCGTTGCTGAAAGCACACTTCTGCAGTTTGCCCTTCTGCATCCCGAGGAAGCTTTCTTCTGTTTGTTCGGCGTTGATGCTGTGGATACAGAAGATAGGCAGGCAGACGTTGTACTGTAGTATGCAGCCTGTTGCCTTTCATGTTAGCGTTTGCTTCTGATTTTCTGAGTGACTTCTCTGTGAAGGTTAGGCTCATCCTTGACTGCCTTTAGTTCGTATTGAATCATAGAATCATAGAATATCCTGAGTTGGAAGGGAATGGGTATTATTATTTTATAGTGCTGCAGGGGCTTGGTCTAAATGCTCTTATTTGCTTAGAGCAAATAGGCTTCACCTGTGCAGCATAATGGTTATTTCTATGCTGCTCTTTTAATGACATTTGAAGTTTGTGTGGAGTAGCAAAGGCAAAATAAATAAAAATGTCAGGGCTTTCCAGAGGATGCTGTTGGTTTTGGAAGCTCTAGACGCTTCTGAAGAAAAAGATTTTCTGAAAAAATAAGCATTAAACACTCAGTAAAAATCTGATTTCCTTATGAGCCTTCAAGTCAGGGACCTGAATTACTTCAGAAAACCCTGATGAAATTGCCTATGAGGGCAAGCTTACACAGTTCTTTTCTTCCTTCCTCCTGTCATATTTTTTTAGCGCTCTCAGTTCCCTTTTTGAAATTTTACAGGCTTCTGTTGAAAGGCACTTTGAAAGAGGAACTTCATGTATGTGTTATTTTTACAGTGGAATCTAATCTAGAAAGGTAGGACAGTCTCTGCCAGAATACTAATCTTTTCTGAAGAATTTATATGGGCTTGCTTGCCCTTCATCCCCTCCTCAGTCCTCCCAGTCTAGCACCTAGTAAAGGTAGTTATTAATTTTGAGTCTTCCTGTCTACTGGATGAAACTAGATAAATGCTAAGCTTTTATTGTTGTTTTGGTGGTCTTTTTTTTGGTCATACTTACTAGGGTGCCACTGGGAAAATGTTGTGTTCTTTGTTGTAGTTACTCATCTTGCATCTTTCATAAGAATCCAGGGTTGTTGTCTGTGGGTGCTTTTTATGCCTCTGCATGAACCGCTGTTGAAGGAGAGAGTATGAATTTTTAGAAACCTGTGAGAGATGCAAAAGGAGCTGTGCAGAGGCAACAGTGTTGCTGCTGTTTGTGTGCTTTCCCCCAGAGAGTTGGCTCTGCAAATTGCCATGCGGTCATCTGAAGATGATCTCTTCCACCTGTTAGTGCCTAGGTTTTTACAGTTAATGAGTGGGGATGAGAACACGATCTTCTGATGCTTACTTTTGGGTCCTCTTTGGCTTAGTATCTGTATTTCTTTCCCATCAATTTGCACAGAAAACAGTGTATTTCTTCATGGTCTTATCTTAAAATTTTGTGTAGTAGTAGTCAAACAATATGACATAAATGTGGTGTGACTAATTAGTAGTTTGGTAATTAATTACCCTTTATAAGGGGGGGTACCTGTGGGGGGAAAAAAAAGTATTTTCATGCCAAGCTGGACTGAGCCACTCATGATGTTGTCTGTCACAGTTTGTACTCATGATTTTCTGTTCCTCTATATTAAATTAAATGTAATTGAATCCTAAACCACATTTCATCATGGCTTTTAAAATACTTCTCTTGCTACCTTTGTGGTTAAAACCAAGGCAGTTCATTTAATGACCACGTGCTTTTTTCTTCCTGTTCCTCCTCACTTCTTTCTCTGGCATTTCAGCAGTGCAGCAGGGGCCTATGGGGTCTTTCAGCTTGTGTAATTTCCATGACCTAATGTTCACTTCTGATGCCCTGACTTGAGCCACCAGTACCTTGGATTTCCAGGTAGTCTTCTGTCCCAATCTTGGGGGAGCTCAGAATTGCTTAATTCCTGATCTAGACAAGATCAAACGGATTCACCGTGGATTGCCAAGGGTTTTGTGTTTACATCCTCATCTGCTTATCAACACATGCTTATTTCTGTTCAAAGATCTGCTTTTATTTTTGCTTTCTTCAGGTTCTATTTTCAGAAACCTCATCAACTGCACGTTTAATATATGAAGGGCATCTGTTAATGTGGAACAGTAAGTCCATTGTAATCATGAGTAGCATTCATACGCTCAAAATGAAGTGTGTCTGTGCTCTTTGGCCTTCCAGTGCCTTGGAGCACTGAGTGGAAAGGCAAACTCCTGCAGCGGGGTGTGTTTGCCAGCTGCTGGCAGGTGTACTGTCTCCTGTGACAGCTCAATAATGTTCAATAACGTTCAAAACATACGGGCTGCCAAAGCAAATCCTCGGTCCTGTGGAACTGGTATTGCTGTCAGATGCTTTGCATGTTTCTAACTTAAGAGCTCAGGGCCCGGAGCGAGTGCCCTCTGGGAGAGCCTGAGCACACAAGAGCCTGTCAGGGAGGCGCTGGGTGCTCCTCCTGCCTGCCTTGTGCTGAAGGTGGTCTAGGTGTTTGGCCTGTGGTTCATGTTCAACCCTGACTACTTGCAGAAGGGCAGCAGCTTGCTGTTGATTCTTCTGTTCACCTCAGTGGTTCATAATCCTTCCTTTTCCTCTCCCCGTCCTTCTGGAGCACAGTGGTTCTCCTATGAAGTGTTGACTTGGTTTATGGCCTTGTCTAAAAAGCAGAACTGAAATGGTTCTCCAGTGTCCTGGGAAGAAAATGGTCTTTTTTAGCACATTCTCTAGTTTGTTGTTGGTTTTTTTTTTTTTGGTCTTTAAGTATATGCCAAATGTGGCATTAACTGGCTTTGCAAATAGCCACGATCTTTCTGTTGCTAGTGAATGGATCCATTGTCACTTGGAGAAAAAAAAATACTGTTATCATAACAAGAAATCAGAATGTGCATTTCTGAAAATGTTGTGGAGTTGTTGTACAGCACAACTCTTCTTCCCAGCCTCTTGGGGAGCCCAAGGAAGTACAGGACGTGCCAGCACTCATTAAGTAACTGAGGGGAGCCACTGGGCAGATGCTCTTTGTTCAGTTGGGGGAATTGCTTGTTTTGGAGTATTTGGCAATAAACAGTCTGTGAATAGTTCTGTTGACTTTGGTGTGACTACTCATGTGTGTAAATACCACCATGTGCCTAATTGCTTTCCTCAGCTTAAGGTCCAGAACTGCATACCTGTGTGTATATTCTTTTCTAAACCCACAAAAGTGCACCAGGTGTCTTGGCCATGTAAGTGAAGTGCTTGCTGAAGTGTTAAAGTCCAGCTTAGAAAAATTCCCTCAAGAATTTTTTCCTGGGTAAATTATGAGTGCGTCTTTTAACTAGGAGAAAGTGGAAGGGGAAAAAAAAAAAAGCATCGGACTTTCTCCAGAGGAGTGGATCACCAGTGTCTTTTTTATCTTGCTGTACTTGGATGCTTGTCTGTAGGTTACCACCAGTCAGGTAATGATGAGAATTCTCTACTCCAAGTTTAGAGTTTTGAGATGAGTCTTGGTTGGAATAAAGACTGTACATCTGCATCGTGACTTGTAATTCTTTGGGTAGCTTCCACCTTTGATGGAAGTGAGCTAGACTATTCTGGAGTTACTGTGGTGTTAGGGCTTTGTTCTTAACCTGGAAGAGCCTTACAAGCTGCCAGTGTGCTAACTAGTATGTCTAGTGTATAACCACTCCTCTCTCCATCTCTTGTAGTGCTCAGACGCAGGGTTAAGGTACCATTTGGCAACTAGACTGCTTTAATTGCTCATCGTGTACACAGAATGTGATTTATTTCTTTCAGCCTAACCCACTTTCATTGTAGGTTAAGCTGTGCTTGCAGACAGTTCCTGCAACTTTAGGTGCCCAATTGTAAACTGTTTCAACCCCTGTAATTTCATCATGTGTTTGGACCATCAGACCCCAGGCATTTAAGCACCACCTAAAAGGAATCGTCACGTAAAAGCACCCCGTCAGCTCACTATAATTCAAACCAGTGCAGTCTGTGTGTACGAAGAGGAGATGTGGATGCTTTTAAGAAGAAGCATCTGCTTTATAAATATGAACTATGAAAAGCTTCCAAATGTCCCCTCTGTTCCTCAAATGTGAATGTGATCTTCTCCTAGGAAGCCATCTGGAGTAGGCATGCTACAGTCGCTGCCTCTCTCGGTGCCATTGTCCTGTCTGCCTCGGAGTGACTCGTCTCGCTTCTGCACGCTCAGTGGTGGTTTTGTTGGCTTGCTCGAATGCCAAGTCTGTTGCCCAGCTTTGGTGCGCCATGAAAATATTTCCTGTCTAATGTGCTCATTTTCTTTTTTTTTTAATGATTTTTTTTTCCTGCTCTCCCCTTAGCAATATTGTGAAAGGAATGAGGAGTCTGCGAGAAATACTACGGACTGTGGAAACGAAAGCTACTCAGACCTTCAAAATGGTAAGGGGAGTGAGTGGGAGCTGGGAAGGTGGGGGTCATCTGCTGTGATGGATTTCTCTCTGTTCCTTAACCATGGCGTTTGGACAAATTTTTCCTCGGTTGATTGCTTGTTGTTGTGTTTGTTTTTTTAATACTTCTGGGAGCGATGTGTCTAGTGATGCACTTAATTCAGAGAGCTATCCAGTTGAAACCTCTGAGCCTTCAGCTCTGGGCATATGGGATACTTTTATCTATTTTTTTTTCAGTGCATTTTCTAACTCTGGTATAAATGGAGATGTATGGAGCTTGATAGTGCTGTCCCAGGTGATAATGCCTTGCTTTCTTGCTTGCTTTTCAGTGTGTCCATGTGTACCTCTTCACTTTTGCATGTAGCAACATAAAGTACTTCTGGTGCTTGCAACAAACAGGGCTTTTTTTAGGTTCAAGTGCTTCAGTGTTCCTGTAAAACTCTTTTCAATACAGTGTAGCACAGAGTGATTTTTCTTTTGTATTTGCATTCTGCTTCCTGTTCTGAGTGCTTCTGGTAAAGAAATCATGGAGAAACTTATTTGTGTCTCTTTAACTGTGTAGTTTAACTTAGATGGTCCTTCCTTACCTCCACTTGAAGAGATCTTGTCCTGAGGTTACTCAGGATGTGACAAGATCAACAGCAAGGAGAAGAGTAGTCTTGAGAACATGAATGAAAATTCTGCAGCCTGAAAAGTGTTGACACAGATCTGAACTAAATATGAAACAAGTTTAGCCATCTTTATGTTTTGTGTAATTCCAGAGAAGTTTGAAGAAGAGGTGGACATGGTTTTGCTTAGCATTTTGAAGATGGAGAGTGCTGGGTTCCAATGGATGGACTGATCTGTGTCTCTATTTCATATGCAAATGCAGAAATACAATGAAAGCATGAGCAGAAGGGGCAACCTGGGTAAATTTTTTGCCTAGGTTTCTCACATTTATATGTTTTGGAACTTCTGTTCTTGAAATGAATCTTCTTGTTGTCCAGGGATCACCTATGCCTAGTGGAGAATACACATGCACATGGAATAACGTGCAGGGAATTAGAAGAGGTGACTTAAATAATTGTCACACTCAAACGGTCGTATCCTTTCCCAGATTGAGATCAGGACTCAGGGGATTTTCTTGCTCATCTGTTTTATCGTTCTGCTGAAATGAGTGTAACCATCTGCTGTTCCTGTACCATGGCAGAATGTGGCACTTGAATGCTCCTGTCCCTACGCAGCTGGGGAGAGCTATCCAACACCCCTGGAGGGTTTACTCCTAAGGGGAAACTTGAAGGTGTTCCTCCAGTAGTTTTTCCTGGGACTTCTATTTTACTGGAAGTTGTGTTTTCATTTTCTTTTTTTTTAAAGAGCTGTCAAGAGGGCAAAGGGAGGAACGTGCTTAATTAAACAAGTTTTTCAAGCATGAAAGTGAAACACGCAATTTTCTTCTTCCTAATTTGTGGGATCGCAGTGTTCTCCAAGCATAATGATGCTTTTTTTAGCCAAAGGCAGTAATAACATAAATCACAGTCTTGGCCTGTTCTGGTTTGTTTGGTCTTATTCAAAACAAGAGTGAAGCTAATTTACACAGCTACTGTACTGTATGTTAAAATCGAAGGCATTGCGAGTGTTTGGTTCTTGCTTTTTGAAAGGCTTATCACAAACTGTACTCCTACTTTTGTGTGAAACAGTAAAGATCTTTCTGTTGCTGGCATAATATTCTTCCCTCCCCTCTAATGCTGTAGGAAAAAAAATACAGGAGAGTTGGCTCCTTAGGGTAAAACTGACTAAATAATTACACACCGAGATGGTAAAATGATACTGGCTAATGTCACGGTGCCCTAGGCCATTTTGCTCATGGTTAGTTGCTATAAAAAGCATAGGAAAGCATCGTTAGATACAGAAGGCTTTTTGTAACTTGTCACTAGAAGCACTGGGAAGGTCTTGAGGTTTCCAGGGGGTTGTATGTGACAATATTTCTTTGAGGCATTACCATACATTCAAAGCAGCTTGCCGTTTGCTAGGTGTAGCTATAAAACCTCCCTTTCTGGTGCTGAAGAGGCAGAGAGAGCACACATGCTAGTGTGGCTGCATTTTAGGCTAACTCAGTGACTGTGTGTGTGCTCAGGTAGGTGACAATAAAGAATCTTGTATTAAAAAAGGTTTATTAAAAAACCTTTTAAACCCTATTTACCATTTTTATTATTTTTTTTCTGCATCTGATGACCTGAATTTTCTTTAACCTCAATGTGGTTTGTGTGGTCCTACAGATGTCACACCTCAAGTGTCAGTGGTTCAGTTTATCAATTGTACCTACCCTGGTATTTCAGAGAGTGCCTCTTGGCATCCTCGTACCTTATCATAACGCATGAATCGCACATAAAATCCATATGCAGTAGTCAAAGAAGTTCAAAAATATTTGCAGGCAGTAGGACAGAGGGGCTGAAGCTTCATTCTGCCTCTGTGCTGTGCTATGTTTGTTCTGCAGCGTAGAGTAGTGCGCTGCTGAGAATTCCCAGCAGATAGCCTCTGCTTTGATTTCCCTCTGCTTGTTTGCATGTTGCTCTGTTTACAATGCAAAAAGCTAGAGATTTATTATGTGAGTCTAAACAGAGACAAATGCCAAGGATAGCTTTGCAAAATCAACTTAGCTTGGTGTCTTTTGGGCCCAGCTTGCCAGCTATGGATAGGAACTGGAAAGCTTAAGGGCACTCAATAGTCAGAAAGGGCATGTGATGTTGTTGTTTCAACATAAAATTCTAACCCTCTTCTCTCTTTCCTCTATTTATTATAACAACAACAACAAAAAACACAGAAGTAATACAGAGAAGTTGTAAAAAGCTGTGGTTGGAGACACATTAACAGCTACAGGGCTGTGCTTTTAAACCTGAGGCAGAAGTCATCTCTGGGCTGTGACTTGCATCCAAAGTTTTGAGGCTGAGAAAGCAATGGAGTGTCATCATACTCTGAAATAGAAACACTTGTGAGATTGTCTCAAAAGTCCAGGTGGCAATCAGCTGGTTTCATTCACTAATGTGTCCCTTCCTGTCAGGTTGTTTTTTAACTATTGCATTGCAGCAAGACCATGTAAATGCAGAAGGGTGGGCTTTTTGGAGGAGAGAAGCAACAGCCACTGTGGCAGACTTTGTAGCAGCAGCTTTAGCTACTCTGAAAAGAGGTACTGTAATGTATATTTGTATCAGGATGTCTGCTTCCCAAGGTGAGACGTAGGGAGGGATATTTTGTGTGTGTGCATGTGTTTGAGAAGGCTTCACTTGATGCATCTTTCTCCGTACTGTTCACTGATCTCTAGACCGCAGCCAAGCAGCTAGCCCAAGTACTTCTCCACTCCTTAAGCGAAGACTGTTACTGGAGCCCTTTATCTGATCCTCTTCCTGAGTTGATGAACAAGGAAGATCAGTCTTACGTTAGCAATCTTCTTTGTCGGAAGCCCGAGCTATACACAGAAGAGAAGTAAGCGTTCTTTTTTTATTTTGGGTTATTGACAGAAGGAAGGAGAGTGTTTGAATGCTCTTCAGTACTGCTAATTATGTCACTGATTGATGTGCTAGTTTTGTGTGTTCTTGGTTTTGACTTCTCATCAAAAGGCCTGCTGGGAAGAATAAAGCATTAAACCTTGAGTGTTTTGATGTTTTTTCCCCCCAGGAAGGAAGAAAATCCAACCAAATAGCTGTCTTTGCTATGAAATAGAAATAATCTATTTATAGTTCAGAATAGCTCATCGAGGATATGTTTCAGAGCTTTTAATTGTGTGAACCTGAAAAAGCAGGTATTACCTAGCGAATGAATTATGTATGAAATGTTTCAAGTTACTGCTCTTCTTGTGAAATGAGAAAGAGAGGCGGATAGGATAATTCTTGACCTTCCTCAGAAAATTGTGTTCTGTCTTTCAGCGTTTACTGCCCTCGGGACAACGTAGAAGAAGCTCTTCTTCTCCTCTTAATCAGTGAATCCATGGTAAGCCAAAAATGAGTTTGTAATATTAACAGCAAAAAAGGAATATTTCCACGTCGAGTCCTCTGGTTGGTTTTGTTTACAGAATCTTCCCTACATAAGCAAAGATTCTTCTCATGAACAGGAAATGCTATTTCTTTCTCTTGGTGACACCACTTTTATTTGATGGAACTTCAGTGAAGGATTTGGGGAATTGTTAAAAGGAAATAACCTGCATTCACCATAGCTGTGTGCAGTTTCTGACATCGAGGTACGTTGCCAGCAGGCAGATGTTTCCATTCAGATCATCTGTGTGGATTTATGGATCAAGAATGAGAGGAACTGGGAGCCTTGGGTAAATCCACATGTGATGGAGCCTGCCGTTTGGCATTTGCAAGATAGAACAGAACAACCTGCATATGTATCTTAGTCTGTAGGGGTAGTGTTTTAGCTACTTCAGTCCTGAGTGGTCTTTGGCAGTGTCTGATGCTCATGGTTCAGGGGTTTGTCACTTGTAGATGTGACATCCATAATGAAATACACGGGAATTGTTAGATTTATTTATAGCATCAGTGTTGGTGGGGAAAAACAACTGTATGGAAAACTGCAAGGTAACATTTAATCATGTCCATGTTCTGAGAAGATGCAAACTGAGAAAATCAGTAAGGAGTGGTGTTTTTTTTGGTTTTTTTTTGTTTGTTTGTGTTTTTTTTAAGCAGTGTAAAGAATGTTACTTTGCTTTAAATACTGGATGGTTGCTTGTCACTTAAAGTGAGGTTTGGAAACCTCAGAGCTTCAGTGACACTCTTAGGAACTTACAGATGAGGTGAAACGAAATACTATGGGAACTTTGGTTTGGTTTCTTGTCTTTCTTCAGTTTTTCTATGTCTTTCTTCTACCTCAAGTCTCTCCCCTTTCTTGCAAAATTCTTAACACACCATCATAATATTGTTTGCTTTTAGAATATGGGGCAAAAATTAGGAGTTAGAACCACTGCAAAATACTGAAATGACTTAAAATATTACGTGAGCAGTATAACACCAAAGACTTTTTGGTGATTTCTAATTTAAATCTCTGCAGTATATCTGTATTGTGTTTTCAAGGCCCTTTTGTAATTAGAACTGGAGCCTCCTGGAGCAGGAACTTGTAGTGTGATGAATGCAGATGTATCAGAAGACTTTGTGTCAGCGTGGCTTGTCTGGGCTGATCCATGTGTGAGGAGGGATCTGGAGCAGCGGGAGTACTGACTGCTCCAGCCTTCTCTGGGGCTGACCTCAGCTGAAAAGGCCTTACGGGACCTTGAACACTTGTAGTCTTGTTCTGCTGAGGGGAATGAAAGCTACCATTTTATCCAGGAGCATGTAAAATGGCAAACAGCTCCTGTAACTGTTGTGGATGAAGCAGTGTGAAAATGGTACTGATCGGAGCTGGACTGCTGGGCTGACTTCAATATTACCTAAGTGTGTGTGTGTGTTTGAGTGCTGTCTCTTATATAGAGGAACTGTCTGGAGGTAGGTGCAAGGCATTTTGATCTGCTGTGCATAAAGTACTTAAATAAGCAGAGGTCCTGTAGTGGAGTTCTGCAGGAACCATAACAGCCTCCATTTTGGGGGGAATGGAGCACCTGAGCCTTCGCTTTCCTCTCACGTTAGCAGAAGGCTTGCTATTTGTTTACCACTTTAACAAAACTACAGAAAACTACAGGACAAGTGTATAGAAGTACAGCTGTGCATAGAAATACACTTAGCAGTGACAGGAACGTGCTTTCTGAGTGAGAGAACAGAAGGAGCAATCTGATTCTTATATCTGTTTGCAGTGCATAAATATTTACCTGCAGTTCTGCTGCTGTGTTATTAGGAAGAGGAAATTTTGCTTAATTTTTGATACAATGAGAGATCTATTACAGCTGTTTGTTGTAAGCCAGTGAGTCTTCTCATGTAGGGGTTTGTTGTTCATTTGGAGATGTGTGGGTTGTTTTGCTGTTTTTTAAAATTTGCTGAGCCTTGTGGAACATAAGTTAACAAAAAGCAGATTTGCAGTTGCAGTCTCCCTCATGATGTGATGTTGGCTGGATAACACACTTTCCTTCTTGGAGAGAGTGTTGGTGGCAAGTAATAGTGATACGTTTCTGTAGGCCAGCAAGCAACATGGTTGGTGATTCCAGATATTGGCTGGGTTGGGTGCATCTTCAGTACTCTGATTAAGAACCCCTTAACTACCCCTCAACCACGATTAAGTTGACTTGCTTGGAGCTATCCAGAATCTGACACTTTGACTGCTCTGTCAGAGCAAAACTCACCAGAATAGTACTTTCCCTGTCTGATTTTTAAAGAGAAAAACAAAGCAACCTTGCTGCTCTAATTCTTTTGCAGGACTGTAAAACCAAACAACTGCTCCACCTGCCTGTTTCTGACTTCAGCCATTCCAAAATGAGCTGACATGGGTCAAAACTGGGGGGAGGAGGGTTTGGGGACAGGAGAATTGTCAGCACAAAGAGGGGACATAAAGACATGTCCTGGGCAAGAGTGTAGATATCAGAGAATCATAAATATGTGAGAAATTGGCTGAAGGGGATACAGGGCATGGTAAGTTGTTGTATTTTTTTTAGCAATACACATCTTGAACACCTTTTAATTCTCCTAGCCATACAAGGAGGGAGTAAATCATTGCTAGGCAGTTTGCTGTACCAGCTGAAATGCACTCTATTCTTCTGCTTGTCTCACCTTCATAAGGTGTAGCTAACACCTACCTCACAAGGATCTGTGTGACTCCCCAGAAAAAAGTTACTAGTGCTACAGGACTCCTACCTGCAGGGGCTAAGGGGAAAAAAGAAACCACATGTAAGGTTTGTGAGCCTCATCCTACATTCCAGCAAACTTTCTCTGACTCCCAGTGGTGCAGGGTTCTGCCTCCAGATGCTGTCTGTGCTTTTCTTACCCCATTTCCTTTGCTTTTGAAGGGAGCAGCTTTGCATGTTCTGGTGGAACAGAATGGGAATATCTTCTAAATTGGTAATTAAGCATTCCTGCAGTATTTCACTCGCTCTGCTTTGGAGCCTAAGTATATAAAAACCAAGCAGCATGGTAGACTTTGTCATAGCTTTGGAAATGCTTCTGTGGGTATATTAACACTTAGAGTAACAGCTCGTTTCCTTATGGCCCTCTCCTGAGCTGCCTCCTGTATTTGTTCTGTCCTTGTTGAAAATGGGAACCTGTCTTCCTAAGCGAAGGCATCTCTGCAGGCAATGAAGAGCACCCTGGCTGTGGGGTTTGGCAAGCTCTTGCCCGTGGTGCCAGCTGTTATTTAGCTACCATGGCTGGCTGTGGAGCTCTTGTGGAGGAGTGTAGTGAAACAAATCAGGCAGCCTGAAGATTACCACAGGCAGGGCTGTCTTCTTCAGGGGTTTGGAGGTTTTGGGGTGAAATTCTCCTTCCATACACACAGCCTGAGTTGCAGGATGGATGGGCTGGTCATAAGAAGAGAAAAATGTTCTCCCTCTCACCCAGGAGGAGGCCAGCTTGTGCCAGCCTTCGCAAGCTCAGGCTGCAGTAGAATGATGTGTTCCTGTTGAGCACTGGAAAGATGGGCCAGCCTATTTTTAAATGGCTAGTCCTGCTTCTGTCTGTATTTAACTCATCAAGACCAACAGCACTGTCTTCGGGGCGAGCCGAGTATGTGGAGGCTTGCTGCATGTGCTTTCTCTGCACCGTGGCGCTGCTGCTGCTGTCAGAGGCTCTGGGCCTGTTGTGTGGCTGCGAGTAGGCAGGGCAGCTTTGGCAAGACTAATCCTGAACTGCGGTTTTATTTGTTTTAATAACTGCTCTGAGGAGTATTTGCTGAGTTGACTCTGCTGCCCCTTAAAATCAGCCAGAAGTTTCTCAGAGCAAGGATTGGAAACTTTCTATGACTTGTGGTGTGTACTTTTGAAGTGAAAGTTCTTTATTTGCACTTAAAAACTTTCCCTTTTTGAATCCAAGGTCTAAAACATAGCCTAAAATCTTTAGCTCAGCCCTTGGTAATGCTGGCTCTTACAGCGAGGGATCCTGGCTGGTGTGGTCCAGCAAACATCCCAGGTAGCATGGGTCACCTTGGTGATTCCGTGGTCACTCCAGTGCTAGTGGAAATGAAGCTCCTTGTGTCCAAAACTAATAAATTCTGTGCCTGTGTAACAAAGATTAGAAATGTCATCCCCATCTTATCTCTGACTTGAATCCCTAAAGGCGATTTGACCTCGCAGAGCCTGAGAGCGCAGAACAGATGGTGAGGGGGGAAGTAAGATACTGGGACTGGCCCTGATCTTTTTACTGGTGAGAGTGAAAACTTGTGGCTTTGAGCATGCCTGTGAGGGAATAAGACTTAGCCTGTTTATTTTTAAACACAGAAATAATTAAAACACATTAACTCTGCAGTTCCTAGCTTTATACAGTAATCCTGGCCAACAAATGGGTTGGTGAAAGAGCAGAAACTCTTGTTGCTTTTACGGTGTGTTTTTTTTTGAATGACACAGCTGGACGACTGTCACGAGTGTTTCTTTGAGGGCTAGGGGACTAAGGCAGCCTAAGGAGACAGCTGGGGACAGGATTGCCTGTTCTGTTGGTTCCTGCCAAATCACTGCGCTGTGCTTACACTAACCAGCCTGACAGTAACTGGTCTGCAAGGCAAAGCTGTGCATTTGGGACCTGGGAAGATAGATTGCAGAATGTTTCTAGTGGGAAATATACCACCCCTGTGAATTTCCTTGTGAATGAACAGTTCAACTGCAAGCCCCAGAAGATGGGCTAGCCAGCTTTTTCTTCTTTCGCTTTGCAGTAGGCAGTGTTATTTCCAAACTTGCAGGGAGGATGTAAATTCTGGGAAGATAACTCTAAATGCAGATTATTGATAGCAGATACGTGACTTTGGTACCCAAGACAGTACCCATACATAAAGCTGCCTTTTGTTGCATTACTTTTTCCCATCTACTTTTTCTCCTCCTTTCCTTCTGGATAGGGAAGCTGGGCTGTTTTGGCCAGGAGTCATGTCTG